TGTGGATGCACATTTTTGCAAGAGTTGTAAAAGAAATGACAATGTCAATGGAAATGCCAAAGGTGGAAATCAACAATGACGTAACAAGCTTTCCATAAAGTGGAACAGAAGCTGCATTCACACAATTAGGTGGTAAAACCAACTGCATTCACTTGTTTCGACCCCAGATTTTTTAAAGCACTCAAATCTCTTTTTTTAACATTTGACAATACATTTCTGGGTGAAAATGTGTTTGGCATAACTATATAAAAATACACAGAAGCTCTGTGGATCAAATACACGTATCACGAATAAAATGCTTTGCAGGCATTTGGTTTAGGTTCCTAAACCAAATTAAGTTGACAGTGGTTTTGACACAGCTACTTTCAATCCATATAGGGAGGGAGAGGGCATTGATATTGGCTCTGTGAATTTTAGACTTCATCCTGTTTACATTGAGTCTGAAAGACACATTATTTTGAAATATTGTCTAAATATATTTGAAAAAAGTAAATGAAACCAACCACATTCTCTTTAAATCCCAGTACCCCAGTACCAAATTATCCATGGACAGGTACAGGTTCAGGGACCACATGTTGGGCACCCCTGCTTTAAATCACTTGCAGTTACAATGTTATATTTTGCAGATCAATAGTGGTCAAAAATAACTGAAGTCACACCAGCTTGGTGTACGATGAAGTAAAAAAAAAAAAAAAAACCCTGTGAATGCAGATTGTTTTGTGCCCTAGTGTGGACGTAGCCAGACATGCTTTAGAACAGGGTTGAAAATGAAAATGTTCTCTTAATACTATTAAAAAACTAATATATCAATCTACATATATTGAAAAATATAAATATAAGGCATCTATTTTTGATGGACTGAAGTAGAAACGTTGGGGGGAAACATCCAACGTGCATCCTCGCTGTGCTGAACAAAGACTTTATGTTTTGCAACTGTTTTTTTTCCTCTCACTTTTTATTCTTTCATTTGTACGCTGCACTGAAAACACATCACCCTGACTGTCACCAGTCACTTCCTACGACCCAAATAATATAGTATAAACAGTAGAATAGCTGTTGCATTATTTGTTACAACCGGTATGTAATGTTATTATGGAAGATGTAATGTCCTTCTGTAAATGTTGTTAAATGTTGTTTTACCTGAAATAAAAACTGATTATATGAATCATATGCGTTGCCATATTTCTGTGCCTGTGCACTAAATCACCAAACAAAAGTTGATGGTTAAACTAAAATATGAGACCTGCTGGCCCTTGTTTCAGACAATAGAGAATGTTTGCAATCAAAACCAATATGTCTAGTATTACATCCCCTTTCGAGTGGGGTCAAAAAGTGTTATGTTATTTGGCAGCCCTTGGCGGACACACCTGCACCTCAATATTACAGAAACGTTATTTCTAAATTAATGCTGTAAAATCAATCTTGTTAAAGTTATGTACCCCATGGGCAACAAAGTTTTTTTTATAATACAGGTGTAGAGTTGTTCAAATCCTTTAAGACTGGTTACTGTCACATCCAAAGGTCTAACAGCCAGTGTTATTAATAAACCATAACTGCAGCCCCTCTAATGAACCTTAGGTGTCATTGTAAGACAAAACCAAATATTGGGCCAGGTTTACTATCTAGCAAAGTACAGTTTAACTGAGTACAATATAGTTTAGTATAGCTTACAAAAGTTATTGTTTTGTATGTAGTTAAGTATAGGATAGTGTAGTGCAGTGCAATGCAGTGTAGTGTAGTGTACTGTAGCTCTGGAATCGAGTTATAAGTGTAAGTCAATATTAAAAAGGTAGTTATGAACGAGGTAAACAGGTCCTAATATGAAGTGTACCTAATTTGCAGGGAGGCACGTGAACGTTAGTGACAACAACAGCAGGCCGTCACCGCTCATGCAGCAGTCAGAGCTATTAACAGAGCAGCGATGAACTGAGATGAACCTCTGCTACTGAGGCGAACATGAGGAAAAATGTAGAACCCTCCCTAACCCCCATCTGTTAGGAACCACTGAGAAACACATGAGACAGAGACCCAGGGAGAGAGAGGGAGAGTGAGAGAGAGAGAGAGAGAGAGAGAGCGTAAAGCTACTCAAAGTGAGTTGCAGATACAAACAGGAAGTTGGTACTCTCTGAGGTAACTGCCTCCTCTTTTTGGCTCAATGATTTTGACTGTGCTGCTACTTATAAGACACATGTAGTAACCGGTCATTGCAACACGCATGGGGGCACATATTTTCCAAATGGATTCCTTTATGCAGGAAAGACTTATCTATCAGGCTCCATTCTAAACATAGTGCTGTGAAACCACAGGGCTTCCACTTGGCTGTTTGTCTCGCAGCGTCTACAGCAGCAGCAGTTGTTTAGGTCTGGGAGGAACAGTCAGTAGTGAGAGACAAGACAAACCACACATGTTGTGATTGTGCGTTATTGTGACAGATGGTTGTGAGCCACATGTAGCATTCCTTTCCTAAAAAAGCGGGTCTATTTATACCAACTCAAAGGAGTGTACCAGTGTTTACAATTATAGTACTAAAAGGCCAAAATACCTGCAAATTTAAAATGTGCACTTCTGTTTACATTTTGCAAAAAAAATTACAAATATGCAACATTATACCTTGTGATATCAAAACTGCCAAACAAAAGTAGGAAAGAAATTGTAAAACAGTACAGAGCCCACATAATAGTTGGCCGTCCATAAATGGATAAAACAGGCCGTCCATTTGGCTAAAAGACTAGGGTCTGTGGGTCTGGTGTGAATCACTTAAGGGTAATTGTTCTGTCAGATCACAGTGAGGGGTGAAAATATTGACATAAGACCCTAAAAATTAGTTTAAAGGGACTGCAATGTGTAAATGTTTTTACCAAAAGCAACTCTCCCAAGTGACTAAAATAAATACAATACAATTAATTAATTAAAGTATTGATTGGTCAATTGATTTCCATAAATGGATAAGTCTCGCAAAAATAACAACAGAGACCGGACCGTTTCGGACCTATCCTCGGGCCTTTTATGTTGAAGGTCTAAAGCGGAAGTGTATAAGTAGAATGCGGCGTTTGGACTCCGCTGCTCTCAGAGAGACAGATGAGAGCAGAACAGGTTGGAGCAGCAGACTGACGCTGCGTCGCTGACTGGAGACTCTTTCCTGAAGAAACATGGCTCATTTCTGTGGGTTTCAGCTGAGGGAGAAGACGAGCTTGTGATCAAAGCTGTGGATTTTTAAAACATTTGTCCTCCTCCCCTCACTTCACCTGTAGGCTCTGGTGAGAACGGACGAGCGGAATAGTGTTGGACAGAAACTGCTTTTTCCAGAAAACCTAGTACAGAAGCGCCGACGGAGAGCGTTTCGGGAAGTAGCTGTGCTGCCTGTTGAGAGTTGGTTCAGGGACAGAAACAGAAAAGTACCCGTGGATACAGACAACAGCATGGCTTCACCCACACTCCTGCGCACAGCTCTGACCTTCCTGTGTTTGTTTCTCTTTCTAAATGTTGGAATCTTTCGCGTTAATGGGCAGTACGGAGACCGTGGAATGTCGATACCGGAGCACGGATTTTGCCAACCGATCTCCATTCCTCTGTGCACTGACATCGCCTACAACCAGACCATCATGCCGAACCTCCTGGGTCATACTAACCAGGAGGATGCAGGACTGGAGGTGCATCAGTTCTACCCGCTGGTGAAAGTCCAGTGTTCCCCGGACCTTAAGTTCTTCCTCTGCTCCATGTACGCGCCTGTGTGCACCGTGATCGAGCAAGCGCTGCCGCCGTGCCGCTCTCTGTGCGAGCGCGCGCGGCAGGGCTGCGAGGCGCTCATGAACAAGTTCGGCTTCCAGTGGCCCGACAGCCTCGCCTGTGAGTCCTTCCCAGTGCACGGCGCCGGAGAGCTGTGTGTTGGGCAGAACATGTCAGACCGCACCGAGCCAGAGGGCGCTCCTGCTGCGTACCCGACGGAGCGCCAGCCTTTAGACCCCAGCCACGGTCAGTTCAGGTGCCCGTCCTCTCTCCAGGTGCCCCACTATCTAAACTACCGCTTCCTGGGGCTGGAGAACTGCGCTGCTCCCTGTGAGGCCAAAAGATCCCATGGCATGATGTACTTCAGTGAGGAGGAGCTCAAATTCGCACGGATATGGATCGGGATCTGGTCGGTCCTGTGCTGCGCTTCCACCTTGTTCACAGTCTTGACCTACCTGGTGGACATGAAGCGCTTCAGCTACCCAGAGCGCCCCATCGTCTTCCTGTCTGGCTGCTACACCATGGTCTCCATCGCCTACATCAGCGGGTTCCTTCTGGAGGACAAGGTGGTCTGCAACGACAGGTTCGACAATGACATGAAGACTGTGGTGCAGGGCACCAAAAAGGAGGGCTGCACCATGCTCTTCATGATGCTCTACTTCTTCAGCATGGCCAGCTCCATCTGGTGGGTCATCTTGGCCCTGACCTGGTTCCTGGCTGCGGGAATGAAATGGGGCCACGAAGCCATTGAGGCCAACTCGCAGTACTTCCACCTTGCAGCTTGGGCCGTCCCTGCCATCAAGACCATCACCATCCTGGCCGTAGGGCAGGTGGATGGAGACGTTCTGAGTGGTGTCTGCTTCGTTGGCATCAACAGTGTGGATGCTCTACGAGGTTTTGTTCTAGCACCACTGTTTGTTTACCTCTTCATTGGAACCTCCTTCCTGTTGGCGGGTTTTGTGTCCCTCTTCCGTATCAGGACCATCATGAAGCACGACGGCACCAAGACGGAGAAGCTGGAGAAGTTGATGGTGCGAATTGGGATCTTCAGCGTGCTGTACACTGTGCCAGCCACCATCGTCATCGCCTGCTACTTCTACGAGCAGGCCTTCAGAGAGCAGTGGGAGAGAACATGGATCAGCCAGACCTGCAAGTCCTACGCTGTGCCATGTCCGATACAGAACCACCCCAACATGAGCCCCGACTTCACGGTCTTCATGATAAAGTATCTCATGACACTAATTGTGGGCATCACGTCTGGGTTTTGGATCTGGTCAGGGAAGACCCTGAACTCCTGGAGGAGGTTTTACACAAGACTGGCCACGAGCAAACAGGGTGAGACCACAGTGTGATGTGTTTTGATCATCCTCTCCTGAGCTTCACCTTTTAGACTCTCAGTATGTTTTTTATTGTACAGATACACTTTTTCCAGATTTTTTTAAGTATATATTTGTATTTAAAGATTTGAAAAATCTTCCTTTTTCAAAAAAAAAAAAAAAAAAGAAACAGCAGTTTTTCCTCCTTCTGACTCACTGTGGACACTACTGGGATTATGTGCATCTTTGATCAGTGAACTGCCTCAGAGCAGTGGGCTCTATTCTAAGCAGAGTCCCGTGAAACCCAAGTGCTTCCTCGTGGCTGCCTCTTCATCCTCATTAAGCAGCTGCAATGTGTTTTGTTTGCTCCACTGTGTTCAGTGGGGTCTTCGGCAGTCAGTTCTGGGACAACAGACAGCTCATGGTTGCACAGGTTGAGAATGTGACTCATTGTGACAGATGGTTGTGGCTCTCAGCCCGGGCCGTGACAGATTTGAACATTCCTTTTCCAAAATAAAACACACCTCATGATGGTAGATTACAGGGCCACAGCAGTGTCTCTGTACGTCTCATTGTTTATTGTTGAATGGCTTTCTACAGTCTCTTAGATTAGATGCTGTCTACATCAGGTGTTTCTCAAATGGTGGGTCGCGCAATCAAATTTGGTAGCAACTAATAATTTCTAGTTTTTCTGCCATCCTTTTGTCAACTTGCTACGTTTGTATACATTGTAGCATTTTAGGAGTTGTGCTGTCAATCTTATCAGTGACCTGCCAGCGTTTTTAACTTTTTGTTTGGTTTATTCAATTTTTAAAAATTATTCAGCAATTTTGTTCCTCCCAAGGCAACAAAATGAATCCATAAAATTTATTTTCTCTAATTTCTCATTTCTGTCACTTTTTTGTTTCAAAATTGCAGCATTCCCAACTAGTTTTCTAAAGGAAGAACATTTTTATAGTTTTACCAACAGACCACATATCAGTAAAATGTGTACTCCTTCAATATACTATACATTTAGTCCGTTCAATATATCTGGTCAAATACAAAAACAATCATCGATCGAGCGCTTTAGTGTGGGTCTAAAATCATGACGTGATCAGACTCAGGTCTACATTATCACAGCTGGGCTGGTTTTGGCCTACACTGTGTTACTGTTAGCAGGGTGTTAGGTGTTAACACCTGCACAACTTCATCAATTATTCATTGGCTCCTGTGTTTAAGCCAACACATTTAAAAAAAAGAAATTTGCATATTCTCTTTCGCAATTTTTCTGTCTTTTTGCTGCTGCAGTTTGACGGTTTTCTGGCTGTCTTTGGTCTTTGGAATTCAATAATTAAAATTTTCACAATATGGAATTTTAGGGACCTTTACAAGCCCAGAAAGATAAGTATAAAAAAAGTAAAGTTCAGATAATCCTTCCGTCTTCATCCTTAGAATAATATTAGCTTCATCTGTTCGCAAGATCACAAAGCAATAATCAGAACATGTGTAAATACATAAAATAGCCAAGTTACATGACTTGTTTTTTACTTTTATTATAAGTATTGGAAATTTCAGGGTCATTTGACCTCATAATGGGAAGCAAAAGTAGTTAAAACTGGACAAAATGCATTCAGAAGACAAAACATGCTGCTCTGCTGTGCTAATTATCAGTCACTCAAAATGGCATTGTTATGGTGAATGTAAAGAAATCTGCCACAGTGTCCTCTAGAGTTTATAAATATACTCTGAGTTTAAATCGTTCCCAGTCTTTGTGCTCTTAAAAATCCTTGGACATTATTTAGTTCAGTTAACTTCACATGACTGAAATACACTGAAATATGACATTATCATCTAATATGTTTGTCAAATAGTCAATTAACAGCTATGAAATTGTTAATTGTAGTTACTCTCACTATCAACTTATTTAACAATGTAAAATGTTATTGTTTTTAAGGACTAAATAGGACTAAATTAAATACTTAGTCGTTAGTGCACCAAAACAGGACATAATAACTTATTGTCTCAGGACAACACAGCTCAGGACGACACTGGTAGTAACTAGAATTTTTAATGATAAATTCCTAAGAAGGAAATGTACAAAGGTTAAAAATATGGGAAGAGTTGAGTGTCAAATTGTTATTGGAATTTACTGAGATAATTCACATGGCAATTAGCAATGTTTAAAACTTTTTATCCCAATAATTATCTTATTTTAGGCTGAAAATGCATTTAAAAGACGGATGGATGTTCAAGAAAATTATTTGTAGAAATAAAAAAAACTGCACCGCAGGAACTTTGTACTAAGGGAAAACTTTTAAAAACATTAATATTTTTTATTGTCTTCATGTTTGCACACTGTTATAGCAGGTTAGGGCCACAAATTATTTTGGAAGGTTGGGCTTGGTTTGTTTTTCTTAAATTAAGAGGCTATGGTTTACATCTAAACTCTTTCTGGCAAATCTGGGATTGATAATAGACGACGCTGATACTTAGATTATCGGAATTCAATTCATTTTTACTTGTACAAGGTAAAACAAAAATCTTAGTTTATTATGAGTCCAGATGGTTTTAGTCATGACTATAACGTCAGGATTAATAATATTTTCCTTAGAATTCTGAGTCTAACTTTGGAATTCTATTTAACTTGAAATTCTGTGAATCAACATGTAATCCTGACTTAGTTCCATAAAATGATCCACCTTTGGGGTTGTGACCTACCATGTGACAAACACTGTTTAAGAAAAAGAGCCGGGAGCCTTGTGTAACGAGTCGAGTAACAATTTTAATTAATCCTGTAACTGTATACTTGTACATGTCGTGAAATGTTTCATCAAAGCACATTTACAGCCCATGGCACAAAGCCGTAAATTTAATATTAATAACAAAATGATCATCACAATGGCTGCAGCGATATTAAAAAATAAAAATAGACTCAAGGAAAAAAGAGAAAAGATTCATATTGGCAACAATGGAATGTCCTGGCAACTTTAATTTACAGCTGAATAAGAGGAGGGGTTGTCAGGCCTGATCATGTAACGCATGTGTGTAACAGAACACCTTTAGGAATTGTGTGTGGTTTTTTTTCTGAAGTGTATGAAAGTTTGAGGTTTAAACATGTGAGTCACGGCTCTGAGAGCAGACCTGCTGAGACTGATGTGAACCTACAGTAACCTGATCTTGCTGGGAGTCAACGCAACCTACTGTGGGGACACTCTCCAGACTTCAACTGGAAGGAGAAAGGAGGCCTTGTGCTGGAACGCAGAGCAGCTGCCGACACACACACACACGCAAACACAGAGACAGTATCTCAACCTGTGTTTTCGTCAAACACTCTTCCACACGGTGCTTCCGTTTCATCATAATAATCCTTTCATCATGTCCACAGCTCTGAAATATTCTCAGCTTTTTGAAGTAATTTTCCCTTTTTTGCATTTGTTATGAAGAGAAACTTATATATTTATAGAAAAAGTATAAATATATACACAACATTGATTTCTTTATAAGAATAAAAAAATCTTGTCTCACAACTGACACTGTCGAGTCTTTGTTGAGGTTTACCTTTAAGTGATCGTGTACGTCGAGTGTGGCTCGGGGGTGTCCGAAACCTTTATCCTTAGATACTTTATTTTTTATTGGCTACAATCTGAAAAGTTAATTAATTTTGGTGGATTTTTGCCACTATTTATTTAGACCTTGCAACTAATTTCTGTCAAGCTCTATCTGTTTTCGCCCCAAAACCAAAAGAACATTTATTTGTAAAAGGAAGTGGATTTGAGTTCTTCAACCAGGAAAATAAGGCGAGTATTATCTGGTGTAAAAGACATCCTCCAGAATTTGATAAAGAGGAAAAACTGCTTAGAGAAGTGTTTATATGTAAAGAAAAGGCTTTATTTTTTTCATACTTTTCAACTTGTATATTGTATTGCTTGATCAACTATTAACTTTGTGTAGTGTAGTCCACATAAGGATTATTACTGCACTAACCTTTTGGTATGTCTTTCCCTTCCTGCTTTTCTTGGCTCACTTTAACTTAAACACTTACTATTTTTTATCTTAAACCTAAATGTTGGCAAAGAATTCTCCATTTACATTTACTTACACTCACTGTATTTTTTTTAGCTAATTATTACCATTAAGCTATTTCCTGCTAGCTGTGACTTAACTAACCATAACTCTCAAAACATATTCTTTAACAAACTGTGTTGTAGCTTCTGAAGCGAGTTGTTTAGTTATCTTCTAACCTTCAGTTGCAATTAGTTGCTTAGCTCCAGTATATTTCTTTATGGCTTCTTGTCACAGGATATGGGGATTTTTTGGTAACATGTCTATCTTTTATCTACGAGATGAGTTTTAAAAATGTGTTTCAAGGTAACACTTGTCTACTGCACATGAACCTGAGCATAAAGATGCAATGTTTTGGAGGAAAAGTTAAAAGACTATGTCTATGGCCTGAATCTGTTAAAAATGCAGTGTGTTGTTGTGTCTAGTTATAGTCTAACATTTTTGGCCCTGGTGTATTTTTAGATAATCAAATCCTGACGTCTTCTAAAGGTTTGGACACAAATCTGCTTGTTTGTCATCACAGGCTCTAGTTTTACCAACTCTTTATTAACACTTACAACTGGCACAAACAAAATCCACATGAAAGTTGTTACTTTAACTGTTCACAAGAGACTGAAATGTGAGCGATGAAGTGCAAAAAAAAAGAAAAAAAGTTCTGTCCTTGACGTGTGTGAAGGTTCATTCATGTGAAGCCAAATTAAGCAGGATTTTCCAGTAACATGAGCCTTTTCTTTGTGTTTGTGAACACTGTATGTTTTGAACTGTATTTTTAAAAGAAATGTTGTGACTTTGCGAGATAATCAGTGGACTAACCGTATCTGCTGAAGCCTGTTATTAACTCAGGTTAAATTATGTGCTTTTCAAACTTTCCCCACGTCCACACAGTACGACACTAAGGCCAGTGTAAAGAGGAGTGCTGCTGCTAAAAGTAAATCTGTTCATGCACGCACACTGAGAGACAGGCATGTGCAACGTTCCTTTATCCTCACTTTGTTGTTCTGGACCTTGGTTTTGATTGTATGATTGTACAATCTTGTTCTAACCTGGCTAACTTTAAGCTACCTTTTGTAATTAGTAAATTATTCCAAGTTTCTAAACTTTTAAATTTAAGTTTAATCACCATGAATATACTGTATATTAAGTCTACCTAAAAATTGTAGAGTGAAATTAAGAGGATAAAACCATGAAAAAAATGTGAAAAATTTGAGAAATTAACAAGAAATTAACCAGGTTTTGCAAACGACCTTTACACATTTTGAAGAATACCCTTTTTTTGGAAGACTGTTATTTTTGGGTCAAGCCCATGTCTTGTACAGGAACCTTTTCCGGCATGTTAGTTTCAGGTCTTACTGTGCAAACATTTCTAAAAACTTAAAATTGTAAATATACAAACTATGCGTTTGGCTGTCCTGCCTGCACTCCAGATCTGATTCCTTTTGAAAAAGTACAGAGCAATAGAGGAGAATTATACAAAATAGACCTGATTGTTGTGCAGTTATAGTCATGTATACATTACAAATGAGTGAAGATTCTACAAGTTAGATTAAAACCACTGGTAATAAAACTTACCTATTGGTTAAGAGGTTAAATAAAAGAAAAGCAGCCCAAATGCATTCAAAACTCAAGACTATTTTATATTACATTTTAGGAATGTGAACCAACTTCTCTACCAGTTGTAACCATAGTGACACTTAAACACATCAGTGTATCTGCTGTCGGGCTGTGCATGGTAGCAGCAGCTCAAGGAAAGGGGGGGAAAAAACGGGAGATGAAAGCAGAGACACGTGAAAGGTGATGATCTGACGGCTGCAGCACACTCTGTGACATTTGTGGGTGTATGAGTGAAAAGAATGAGCCTAAGAAGTGTCTCAAACAACCAGATCCACAGATGGAAACAGTGAGGTGGAGTGAGTTCACAGCACCAGGCAGTGTGGTGTCGGCTCATTTGGCAAACAAGCTGCTGCTGTTGATGCTGCTGACGCTAACACGTTAGAGTTGAGGTGCAGAAACACACAGTTGACCTTGAGGCAATCTGAAACACAACAATAAAAAGTAAAATAGAAGTCCCGAGAGGAGAAAGAACAGTGGAGCTCAGTTCTTTTTCAGGTCGAGGTTCTTATTTATAACACTATTTTTTCCACTGATGTGATCTGTGTCACATTAACATGATGTGTATACAGAGAAAACTGGTGTAGTTACTAATATTACTGTGTTTTCTCTACTTTTCTTGTGTTTTCTCCATCTGCATAAGTTTGATGCAACACAGCCTTAAATAGCAATTGAAATTGTTAATCAGACAATCTATGTGTACAAGGCTAATTTAGAGACAGGATGTGACGTCATGCATCTCGCGAAATCAAAATGCGGCCATATTAGCAGTGTGTTCTGTAATAACGCAAGGAATGTCCAGACACGACTTTGTTTGAATGCACAACTTTATGTACCTACGTTAAAAAAACAAACAAACAAACAAAAATGTTTTTAACAACAACGTCGTAACATTGCCGTAAATCAGAGTACCGTAAACTTTGTAATGACATTTACTTGTAGCTAATGCTATGGGCAACAGGTGAATTTGAACAAAAGAGAAGGAATAAAATAAGGTTGGCAGATAGCTGTTGTACCCTGGGATTCCGGAACAGCCTGGCGGGCATTTTACAGAACTTCCTGAAAGATGACAAAAGTGGATAAGCGCAATTTAACAAGCCAAAAAACGATCAGAAAAAAGGAGCGGTGGGAACCTATGGACAACGGCTTCCGATAATACAGCGATCACTTCATATCAGGTACAAAATCTACTGTTCCCTAACATTAGTACTGTGTTTATTTTACATGCTTTTATTACGCTGTCTAACAGGAGCTTTATAAAAGTGCTTATGTTTGTATTGATTTGTTATAGGCTTTCTTAGATAAAATTATTTAATTCATGTTGTGCCTGTGGGTTTGCATTGATGTTCCTCTGTTTACGCAAAAGAACAGCGCCTCATGTAATCTCTAACAATATGATTCATGAACAGATACAGCATGAAACAACTATTTGTGGCCATACCTGTTATACCCTGTAGGGAATTAGAAATATCAGATGTCTGATAATCTGTCAATCTTTCAATAAATATTAAGTTTGTCCCGCGACTTTATCCCAATTTTTCATTTTGGCACACTGTGAAAACATCTGCTCTCAGTGGCCCTCAGAAGTCGTGTAAGCTGAATTTCATGTCATGTGAGATATATATATTTGTCTTTCTGCAGTAGGGGCAAGAAAGGTGGTTTTGCTGTTGAAGCCTGCTGAGGCTGCTGAGATCTTTAGCTGTTCCCAAAAGCCTGACATATGTAAAACAACATGCTGCTATATGTTCATATCCAGACAGTACAGTGGTAACAGATGTGATGTTTAATAGCTGCTGAGCAGAGAAGCCAGGTCTGGCTTTGGTTACAGGTTATAATGTATATAAGGTGGCAGAACAAAAACAGACTTACAACGTAACTTTGTTTTGGTTTTTGGGAAGGCTGTTATGTTTTCAACAAATGCTAAGACAACAAAATCTGTAAATTTTGATTGCTTATTATCTACAAAAATATATAATGAAAGATATCCCAGAAGTAATTTGGAGTTTTGATTAATAAAAAAAAATTAAACATCATTATGGAAACAGAAATAGCTTATGAATATTATTATTTGAATGTATTTATTTTTGAATTTCCAGTTTCAGACAAGGTTTATAATTGACTCTAAATTGACCACAGGTGTATGAGAGACTTTCATGGACTGGTGACTGCCGGGGCTTCAGCTCCCCCTACCCTGAAAAGGATTAATAATAAAATAATATAGTCTTTGTACAAAATGGAGTTAAAGTTCTCAATTTTAGGTCAAAGTAAGTCGGACTGTAAAATTAAGCCCACAAATAACTCAAAGTTGTGTCACTGTTTTTTATAGTAAAATAACTAAAGGTTAGCTAAAAAATTAGCTAAAAAACAGCCAAAAAGTATTGTGAAATACCATAGAGTCTACGAGGGAGACAGTAAAGGTTTGGCCACAAATAAGGCTTTAAATTGGGGATTTATTTGAAAATGTGTTAAAGCTAAAAGTTAGCCCAGGAGATAAATCAGCACTGAAAAGCTGGTTAGGGCTTGATAAAGGGGTCTGTTAAGGTAGTTCTGAGTACAGACTGGTTCATGTTTACATTTTTAATTCAATATATGTGGTTCATGTTGTTAAAAGTAGGTGAAAGTCCACTTTCTGTCCTTTGCCTTACAGGAAGATGCCCATTGTTTCTAAGATGTTTTAGAATTCCCCTCATTAGTGTCTTATAGCGTGTGATGGGACCATAAGAACGTTTCTGTGAGGTGATTGAACCTCACGCTCCATTTCCTCTTATATTAAACACCGATGGTGGATCTGACGCTAATGGAAAACACAGACCTGGGTATAAATATCTACACTGTTTCAGCAGTAAGTGCGTGCGTGTCTGTGTGTGCGCGTGTCTGTGTGTCTTGCCAACACACTCTGCTGTGGCAGAGGTAATGAGAAACACACTGTCAGAGGTTAGACCTTACTCCATGACTCATTGCATAACAATGTTGGGAGCCAGAATGGAGAGATGGATCAAAGATGTGATCTCACAGTGATTACTTCACTTCTGTGGTGAACTTTCAAATGGTCATAACGGCCCTCTATTAAATTATACGCTTCTGAGAACAGTATATACTAAAACAGAATAACATTTACTCTCTTTTATTATTCATTCCTTGATTCATTTTAGACTCCCCAACCTTTCAAAGGCTGCAAGTGGGAGCTGGATCAAATCCCAGCGAGAACTGGGAAAATAGGAAGGGTCCACCCTGGCCAGGCCATCAGGCTCAGCAGGACTAAGGGCTGTTTTCGTGCTGTCAACAAGGCTCCACTGTTTTAACATGTTGGAATTGTTCTTCTGTTTAATCTGTTCAATTATTTTAAGATCTAGTGAAACAAGGGTCAAGATATTAAAAGAGCCTGCAAATCACATTTTTTTCACATGTGAAACAACATGAAAGTCTTAGTGGAAACTGATGTGTCACTGGGCCAGAAACCTCACCTCATTTTGCTTTGAATACTGCCCCTATGGCAGTATTCTAGGTCTGCTTAAAATGAATTGTGTTCATAAAAACAGGGGATTGCTGAAGCTACGAGCTTTTTTTTCTTCTATTGTGACTTGATGGTCAAATCTTTCACCTGGTTAGCTGTGGAATAATAACTTTAAATAATCATGATCGTAACATTCCTAAATATACACAAATATATGTAATTTTGGAACAGCAACTGCAACCCCTCAATGGTCTCAATCAGCTTGTCATTCATGCACTTATTTAGTGCCCCGCCCTCAGCGATGCAGGTCTGACCCAAGCAAGGCATATGACCTGAAGTTTAAGTCTCTACAACCTCTCTGTTAGCCTTGGTATGGTATTTTAAGCTTTAGAGGCTTTATGAAACAAATTTTCCTACAAAGTGTATAAATAGCATGCGTCTCGACCGTATTATGCAGCAGTGGTATGTGGATTGACGGTGGAATTATTGGATATACAGTTAATCATTATGCTAAAATGCGATACATTTTTTAATCTGATTATTGAATCTTCACAAGTTCCAATTTCATGTGGTTAACACATAGATTTTGATGTTTGAAATACCTTGCCCAAAATGTCTAGATTTAGCTCAACCTAAGACAATGTCTCTGTCTTTTGAAGTACTAACTTTATGACTCTTTGAGCGTATTGGTTTTCTTTCTCTTGTTGTATTTTTGAGGTTCTCCTTGGCTTGTGTTCACTGTATGTGGGCTAAATGTTGTCTTTGGCCAGCTACACCTAAGGCTTGTTAAGGACATGCTCCTAGTGTAATTTGACAACATATTAATCAGTGTATTTCATACTGAAATATTAATGGGAGATAATAAATCAAGAACAGAAAATCAGTTGCCTAACTCAACATCCATTGTGTTTAGCAATTTGTCATCTGCAAATTTTCTAGAATGATTCAACCCGACCCTCAGCACCAGTCTGTGTTGAGCTGTCTCCCTCCTTCTCTTACCCCTCCTCCTCCTCTCCCTCCTCTCCTTCTTCTCTTCTTTAAGTTTTATCTCACTTGGCCGAGAAGAAAGCACTTGGAAAGAGTCTGATTGATTGTGTGGGTATTAAGACTGTGCGTGAGGCCTGAGCAGGAGACTGTGCCAGAATGTGGCTGGCAGCTTCATCACAGGCTTGGGAAGTGAACAATATGCAGTTTGACTTTTGTGATTTACACAGAGCAGCTGTCAGGAGGGACGGGGTTGGTCAAATCACAGCGTACGCAGCAGCCACTGACTTTCAACAAACACAGACCTATTAATTTTCCGATGGCTTCTTCAGTGGAGATGGATGCGCTTCTGGATCAGCGTCAAATAAGCGTAGCCATTCTCTGTGCCAGAGAAGGAAAAATGAGGACAGTCGTCTCAGTAATTTCAGCAGCTCTCACTGTACTGCCATAGAATTTTCTGTTCCATCCAGAAAACGAGGCCGTCATTATCTCTGGTGAGGGGAAACTCTCCCACAGCCCAGGGAGAGAGGAGGGAGTAAATAGAACCAGGCTGATTCACAACAGACTCAACAAAGACCTGCATATTTTATTTAATATTGGATCTGACTGGCATAGATAGATTCTTTACTTCATGTTATAGTTTCACAGTTTCACCTCTTTTTGTGGTGGGGTCGGTGGGGGAGTGGGTTTCTAAAAGTTTTTAGAAAATAACTCACTAGATGAAAATAAAATATAGCCACAATAATGAAGTTGAATAAATCCTAAAATAACGTCATATAAATTATAGTAAAACAAATAGGCAAAAGTAATGAGAGAATTAGCTTAATGTTTGCTGATTGTGATAACTGCACAATCACATTGCACTCAATTTATTTGAATGCTTTCTATACACATTTCCATAGTGAAGTACTGTGTTGGTGCACCTATAGTTGAAACTACTGTGTTCAGTTCATCTATACAGTGGTTTTCTATTTACCTCTTGTGTATCCTATGAGTGCTGTGTTTGTTGTTGGTGTCCTGTTCTGACATTGCTGATCTTAAAGTTACCAAGACTCGATGGGTGTTATCTTTGTTTGGAGCTCAGGCCCAGGGGCCTTATTTTCTCACAATGGCAGGAAGCTCATTCATTTATTCCCCAACTGAAAGTTGAGACCTTACCGGGCCAACGGCACAGAGCCATAGTCCAAGTTGTTGCACTCACTCAGCCAACCATCTCACTCATATGTCCGGATCATTTATAAAGATGAGGAAATGTGCATTAATCTGCGCCAGCACGACTTCCTCTGCTTACACGATAGTTCAGTCGTTTAATCTGCTCATTTATTATGTTCCTGTCCTTATGGTCAGGGGGTCTTTCTGGGTGTTTTTCTGATCCAAAGGTTAAATGTGGCTTTCATTAGAAACTGACTGGCAAAACTCAAAGATGCCTTTGAATGGTTCGTATTTCCACTGGAAACATCTGCTACGTAAGCGGTTAACATTCACTGGTGTAGCCTGATTTTAGCTTCAAATTCTACAAAGTGTATTCTCAATGTAAGTGCAAGACAAGATGTTACGTAAACGGCAAGGCGGAAAGATAAAGCTGCAAGCAGTAGAAGTAATAAAGCTGGATGACTTCAACTACCAAGGGTCAACGACAGTTCATGGACAGTTCACTAAAGAGTTAAGGGAAAGGGTGCAGGCAGACTGGAATGGATAGAGGTGAGTGTCAGGGGTGATTTGTGACAGAAGAATAGAAGCAAAGTTGAAAGGTGAGGTTAATGAGACAGTAGTGAGACCTGCTGTAATGTATGGTTTACAGACAGTTAGGAGATAAAGTTAAAAGGTTGAGGTTGAGATGGTTTGGACATGTGTTGAGGAGCGATGAATATATCGGACACAGGATGTTAGAGATGGGGTTGCCAAGAAGAGGAAAACCTCATGGGATATTTGTGGTTGTTGGGAAAGGGCATGTGGCACTTTGATTGACGTTTATATTTTTTTTATACAATATAGTCACTTCATACATTTTTTTCCAAAACTAGGGAAGGGTTTACAGTTTAAAATGTTTTTAAAAAAAATGTTAAAGAAAATCAATTTAACTCACTGTGTACGTTTTCTATGTGTGCATGTGTTTGTGTGTGATCTCTCTGGTTACTCTGGTTTCCTCCCACAGACCTAAGACATGCTGATTGTGGTTTGCTTAATTGGAGACTCTGAATCATACCTTCTTTCCAGAGTGTTTCCTGTTATTTATCCAATGTCAGGTTTGTTTTGTTCAAGGGAGTTCAACATTTCAAACAAATGGAAAAAGAGCAAGTATGAGGAGGTATTTGACCCAAACCATAATGTTAATAGTAACACAAAATAAGGCACTGAAATATCCGAATATAGGAAATGATCAGTTATAAATGAGATGTTAATAACGCAAAGACAAAAAGGATATCCTAAAAGTAAGCCAGAAACCAAATTTATCCTAAAATGAAATCCAGCTGAATACAGAATATATTGCCAATATTATGAAAGATTATCATTAACGTAAAATAGTCCAAACAAACATATATAAAAATAATACAGATCTGGTTTTAAACACAGTTATTGTGTCCTTAATAACTACTCTCCCAGAAATGTTACTCTGTTTAAAACATTAAACGTTTCACTGCATGTGAAATAAAGAGACTCCCTGTTCTTTCCACATGCCTATGTTTACTTAATCATTCAGCCTGCCCTTTAACCAGCCATGACCGGAGCAGGACAGCTATTTTTCATAGTCCGTATTTTAATTAAGTGAGGAACCAGGTCATGGTAAACCTGTTTGAACTCTAAACAACTCCGATTGAAGGATTTCAGGTTTTCCAGCTTCCTAGATTCAATTAAGTTTGTATAAAAACTTAGATCAGCCACAGAGAGATGAGTCCAGGAACATTCTATCACTGACTGTTTTGTGAACGATGTTAATTTAATTTAATGATTTTGTGTTGTGGTCTTTTATCTTTGGTTCATACTTGGAGAGGTTCGAGGTTGTGAGCAGGTGATGTCAGTTTAGGGTCTGCTGCAGGGGATCAGAGCAGGTTCCTGGATAGGAACACTGTGTGAGGATGGAGATGAGTGAGTTAGGGTCAAAGGTGGACAAACAGGGATGAGATAAGGAGATATGATGAGGCTTTTCAGTGAGTGCACAAAACAAAACCTTTTTTTAAAGGCAAGTTGTAGGGAGGTGATGGGAAAAATGATGTGGATGGACAATCATTCAGTTTATTTGGTATCAATAACCTAGAGCAGGGTGTCAAACACAATCATGCGAAGGGCTGGAATTTAAAACACAGTCTAAGTTGTGGGCCAAACAGGCTTAGCAATTATTGAACAGTCTATGGCACCGCCTGGATGTGTGATTTGTGTATGTACACTTGAATAAATTATAATTATAATGGGTCTACTAAGTTGAATTATGTTACGTTGGTTTGACTAACTTTGCTAACTTTGAGGCCAAAAGGTAAACTACTGGAGGTGCTCCTGTTAAAGAGACAGATACATTTTATGTTTTTTATTTATTTAATAGTCCTGTAATTCCCTTTATTTTACTAATATGTTCAGTAAGCAACAGCCTGAGAAGGCTGGGTTGTATTTGCCTAATCCCACTTAATCTAGTTGATTTTACTGCAGGGTGGGGCCTGGAGCTGCTTTGGAAGACCCCGAGCGTGATGTCATCGGGTTCTGCTGCTTAACTGGTCTTGGCCTCTAAGTGCTTTCCACTATGTTTGTAGATCAAAAGCCACACTCACCAGAGAGGCTTTAATCACCTCCTCTGCTAGGGGCAGGTGTGTGTCAGTGTGTGCGGCTATATGCGTGTGTGTGGTATTGGTTGTGTAGTACGGATATGCAAACGGTTCCTGGCATTTCCAAAGATAGCCAGGCTGACATTTCTATTGACTTTGATGTTGATAATCCCTCACAAGTTCCCCAAAGTGGGGATTGCAGCTGTGTATTTACATGCATGTTGAAGGGTTGGCATCACTCTCATCAGTGTTTACCTATCAAAACTAGGCTGGTAGGATTTTTTTTTTATCATACCAAACTGTTTATTATTATTTGTGAAAATTTGCCATACAGATGAAAAAAGTTTATAGCCACGAAGTAAAAAACATGTTGTCTGCAAATAGCAAATAGTTAACAACATACACTGGAAAATACAAAATAAAATAAAGTTTAGCCAAAATATACACTAGAATAAGTCAAATATTGAATCGAAAAGTAAGCATCTGCATAAAAAATGCAGGTTACCTGAAAACTACAAAAACGTTAAGTGCAATCAGCCAGACAAAAGATATTAGATATTGCTACTTTAAGGACTTTTAAAGCAACTGCAGCCTCACTTAGTTTACTGTATAGATAAACATATAGAAAATCAGAATGTTTAAAAAGCTAAATTTGAAAACAGCTACAGTAGAAATTTTCAAAAGACAATTATTGCTTAAACTTAAAATTAACTAGAAGATTATTGATAACTTAAAAAAGCTACAAGCTAAGCACAGAAGATGCTGACCCCAAATCTAAACTAAATTTTTAATTCAAATGAAGACAAAGGAGAAGACAGATTCCTTGCCTGAGTTTGAGTTAATACAAAAGCTTTTCTGGAAATCCAGTTACCAGTAGCATGAGAAGAACTCAATGATTTAAAGCTGTTGTTGGTGACATCAGCATTTAGTTAATGTCATAAAAGCGTGTTATGGAGCAGACAAACATCCGTAACACAGGATCATAATGGAACTGTTTGTGGAGACTTTGGTTTTTGGTGGAATAAACACTGCAGTATTTACTGTCACACCCTGAAACATGAGTCAGTGTTAATAAGCTGAAGACATTTGGTGACATGACGTTGTTTTGGGCTCATTGCTCTTATCAAATTTCCCTGTCTGCTTTCATACCTTTGACATGACTTGGAGCAGGTGTTCTACCATCAACATTCCCACATCTGCAAAAGTGGTGTTAAGATTAGGGGGGAAAAACAACAGATAGATACAGAGATTAGTTTATTTTCTTATGAGAGATTTAAGGAGAAGCATTCCAACAGAGTGTTAAAAGTTTATGCGCCAGTAGATAGAGTAGATAGTGGACAGATAATAATAATAACTAATACACTATTTGGACAGAGAATTAGAAATCAGCTGAAACACTCTTAGGACAGTGGTGTCATCGCTGCCATTACACTGTTATTTTCTGCAAGTCTGGTCTGTTTGATGCTGAGTTTCATATTAATGTTTGCTGGTTAAAACCTTGCTAGCCATAGTTATATATTGTAAGTTAAAGTTACTGAGATTACAGCGAAAATTGGATCAAAATGTATTTTATAGACATGTCTGGTAATTACATCATAAAAACAAAAAAACATTTGAATCTGTGTTTTTTGATGGTTTTCCATAACAAGGCCCAGTGTTTTTAGCCCAAGTGGTTACCCCTATATTAGTAGGTGACGGTCAGAACCAGTCTGTGCTTGTCTTTTGTTGTCTGTCTTCCGCTGGTGCTGGTGTCAGTCACTCAGTCACTGACACCGGCAGGCTCTTATCAGAGCAGAATGAAGGCTGAAATGAGGCAGGTCACCTCCTGCAGGAGGAAGCCCTGTCATCTGATATGTTCTACCCCAGCCTCTCCTTCACTGCTCCTTTGTTCCTCCTCCCCTCCCACCCTCCTGCTCCTCCTCTGCTCACAATACCTTCAGACAGATTTCCTTTTTGTCAATTCAGAGCGGACTGGTCTGTGTTCTTTTCGGAAACTTTACACAAGTTGTGCACAGTAAGGCCTGTATTTCACCAATACACAATGCTGTGAGTAACTGAGGATCAAACCTGCACAATATTTTAATATCGATAAACCTTTGCCAAGTCTAGGCTAGCTCGTATTGCTATGTCCCTGCCCACTTTTGGCATGGTCAGTGTCTATTAAGGTGAACTTTCGATTATTTCTTTCCTAAACTTGAGTACATTTTTTAATAATTTAGCGTTACAATGTAATGTAGTTACATATTGACTCATTTGACTCATTTTTAGTTATATTTGCTGTATTTTCTAGGGTTGCTATAATGACGCCAAAGTCAAAAACGTAACACTGAATATACCCTGAATATAATAATAATAATAATAATATCAAATAGGATGCACTGTAGTATGCAGGAGGATTAATGCTAAAAATTATTGTTGATTAATTTCAATTTAGCCATAATTTTAAAGGAATCTTTTGCTTATTAGTTTTACTTTGAGT